TACCCCATTCAATATTACGCCTACTATTATCAACCAGCAATCTATCCAATATTTTACCAGAGATTTCAGGTATAACTGGTTGTATTAAGATAGAACATGTTCTAGTAACTTCTGTAGACAAGAAGACATAATAATTTATCAACGTTTTGTATTTTTCTATTTTATCAGCTGATTCTTCTCCCTTCTTTATGAGCTTTATAAACTTCCATGGTTCCCCTTCTTGAAATACTTTATTTGCATCATAAATAATTGCCCACCAATGTTTAATAGCCCGATTATAATCAAATTCATTTTGGGATTTGTTCATCCATTATTCCATATAATTCATTCATCCCGGTTATTAGCTTGTGTGTAACCTCAATCAACATTTCAACCTCCTCCTCCCCTTGACGAATCTCTCTAAGCAAATCATCAATACCATTATCAAACTTCCCTTGTTGATAATATTCAATCAGCTCCACAATATCAAATTTATTGTCCCCGACTCTAGCAATCAAATTGGTATATTTCTTCATCAACATGTCTCTGGATTCAACAATTAGATCTTGACTAAATTTAGAATCAAAACAATTATCCGAATTTCCCATCTAGAGAAACCTCATGGAATCATTTGATTGGATCAACTACGTTGCCTAAACTTTTACTCATCTTGACTCCATCACTTAACCATTGACTATGGACTATTACTTGTTTGGGTAATTCGATTTGGGCTGCCATCAAGAAGATTGGCCAATATATACAATGAAAGCGGACGATATCTTTTCCAATTATGTGAGTTGGTGGGATGTTTTCGGGTGGAGTTATGAAATTGTTATTTGAATCCTGAGTGAATCCTTGAGGAAATTTGGAGGCGGTTAGATAGTTTAATAATGCGTCGAACCAGACATAGAGTTTCTGGTGGGGACATTGATTATTGATGGAGTACTAGCTGATAGTGTCAAAAACTCTGAGATATATTCTTTGAATAAGGATTGCCATCCATTCCATAAGTTTTGATTGTCGTCTCCCTCGTCCATTTCAGGAAATAGAAGCACTTTCATTTTGGCAATTCCCTTCGTTGAATATTACAATTGGACTGATAAACTTGGAAACAAGTTTCAAATAATAAGTGATTATCTGATAACAATTTCGGACGTTGAAAAATTGAGACAAATATAAAGTGTTACAGTTTGAAAAATAAGTCAGACATATGCTCAAAGGTTGGAAGAATGAGTTGGTGGAAAACCTTGGTAAAAGGAATATAGTCAAAAGGCACAATTGCACAGTTGACATAGACACAAGATGTGCTGGAAGAACTAAAAAAAGCTGCATTAGATGAAGTTCGATTTCCTTATTAATCGTTGTTGATGATGCGTAGGGCGAACCTAACGTTTATCGTGTTGTATGTAAATAACTTTCTTGTCGTGTGATTTAATCCAATACAAAGTTCAAAGATGACACAAAATGAAAGGAAAACACTCCAAGACAGATAGACTACTACTCCGTTCAATTAGAAAATCGTGTGTCTCAATTTTGGTGAGATTGGTTTGTAAGAAGTTCAATAGGTTGTAAGTGTTGGGTAGAATAAACATACATTCATCAATAGTAATTGGAGAAGTACCAATTGTTTTCTAAACTGTCTCCCTATTCCGGGAATAGTCACTAAAAAAACTGGCATAATGTGAATTGAATTTCTATTTAGTGGCATAATGAGACTTGCTTTCCACTTTCATGACGGGCGTTGGTAATTAAAGGAGTAGGTGTGGTTCATATGTGATACCAAGTCGGGTAACAGCCTTCTGAAATATTAAACTGAATTTTTTTTTTTTTTTTGGATTTTTTCATAAATTCTGTATATTCTGTCACGTGAAAATCATTTTTTTTTTACATATACAATCTGTTTATTGAGTTCATATACATACTAACATACAGAAATATAACAAACAGAAAAACAATATACTTTAAAGGCAAAAAGCATCATTGCCTAAAACCTCATTTCAGAACCATCTTAGAGACTGAGTGTATAAGAATAATTATTAAGACTCTTGGAGGTGTACGATACCCATTTGCGAATGAATTGGACCGTGAGCACTAACATACAGAAATATAAATTCTGTATATTCTGTCACGTGAAAATCATGCATAAATCATGTGAAAATCACACTTAAGGAAACGTCACATGATTTATGCGTGATTTGTGCATGATCCTCACGTGAATGTCATGCGCAAATCATGTGAAAGTCACGCGAAAGTCATGTGCACTAGGCTGAGTCGGTGCATTTTCAGAATAAACTAGAAACAGAAAAGGTCCCTTGGCCCAGTTGGTTAAGGCGCGGTGCTAATAACGCCGAGATCAGCAGTTCGATCCTGCTAGGGACCATTCTTTCATTGGGCGTGTGGCGTAGTTGGTAGCGCGTTCGCTTAGCATGCGAAAGGTCTCCGGTTCGACTCCGGACTCGTCCAAATTTTTTAGTATGTATTATTTTTAATGTATGTATAGCATAATATGGATATTCCAATACATGTTTATGTATACTAAAGAATTCCAGAGAGCTGAAGCTATGTGTTGGAGAGTGATTTAGTAACTGGATTTGAAGATTGCAGAATAATTTTTATTCTAATAAAAACCAACTTTGGGTGACACTGGCATGTAATAGTATTATTTTTTTTACATATACAATAGTATTAACCAAAAACCTTTAACCCGGATTACAATCTTACGACCTTGAGTACTCCTCCTATTGACTCTAAAAGAAAGAGCTTCCTAAAAGAGTTCAACCGATAAAAGAGACACTCCGAAAAATAATGAGAGCTACTTGAAATATTTGGTAAAAAAATTTGCAACATTTGACATATTTCCTCACTAAACGGAGAAAAGGTTTTTGAGTCACCAAATATCAACCAAAATGTATATGTCTCCACCCCTTGCTAAGGTGTCATGCTTATTTTTCTTATAGAGATTAGCCTTTTAGTGAGCTTTTTCCTAAAAGAGAAAACTGCAGTAAATATGAGTAAATATATAGTAGCACACGTATTAATTTGAGTTGAATCAGCCAAACACCTGATACAGGATTTCTTTAAATATATAAGTTTACACTCTAAAACAAATTAAATATTGACAACCTGATATATCACCACGCATTATACAAGTTTCGAATATACAGATGAACATTCGTGACCGGTACCCTAAAGCAAAGCAGCAGCAAGTATGTATAACAATGAACCAGCTCCTAAACCGACAGCAGCGTTTGTGGAAGAATCTTTTGAAGCGTCACTACCATCTTTACTGGAAGTGCTGTGGTCACCAGATGATGAACTGTGGCCTGGCTTGGCTGTAACCGAGCCACTTGAAGTTGTCTTGGTAATGTGACTACTTCCAATGGAAGTTTGTGAGTTGGAACTTAACGACAACGAATCAATGTCACCACTTTGTGTCAAGTTATTGGCTTTACAAAAGGCTTCTCTCAACTCCTTAGGTGAACTTGGTTTCTTATTCACAGTGCTATTACCGCAGTTTTGTGCACAATCATACAAGTTTTGGTAGTATTGGTCGTCCATATCACACATACATTGAAGAATCTTATCATCAGACACAGAATTGCACTTTTCACCAACTTCCTGGGTTGCTTCAGTACATGAAGTACATGGATCTGATCTTTTAAATATATCATCAATCTGGTCAATGTCCAAACTGGTTGCTAATGAAAGTAAGAATGAAATTGAGTAAATTAGCTTCATGGTTTGAGATTAGTGTAGTTTGGAGGAACACAAACAGAAATGAGAGACCATAGGGGAATGGGAGATTATATAAACAACATTCTTCTTACTGTGATATTTGGAGATCGATTCGAAAATTCACAATCTCTTACCTAAAGAGGAAATCGGAGGTTG